CACACACTGCAGGAAACGTAGGTGGTCTGTAAAGAGGTCCAGCACACACACTGGGGAAACACTATTAAAGGACAGTGTGAGGGTCAGTAAACACAACACACACTTAAATATATAACACTAATACCTCAAATATACATATAATAGAAATAACGGTACCTACAATATTCCTATTATACCCCTTTGCATCTTAGTAGCTTATATGTAATAAATCGTTTTGATTTTAGGCTAAAATGACCAGGATTTCCGAACTGAAAAACCCTTTACAACGTATTATTTGATTTGTTTATCAACTATTATCTGAATGCACAGCACGTGGTGTCGTTGATCCAACTTAAGAAAATATATCTAGTAAATTAGTGACATTAATTCATAATATTATGAGATTTTTTGAGCAAATGTTTGGCTTTTATTTTACTAAATTAGTTTGCGAATTTTCCACTTTAATCTCTGAAGATATTTCCCTATTTCATTCTCGCTAATTAAGTTCCTAATCTTGGAAAATTTGTTTTTCATTTGAAAATGTTTTATTTCAACTTCAAAGAATATCCAAAAGTGAGTCCAAAACAGGCAAGAATTTGAAACTTTTCAGATAATATCAGAGTTTATTTTTGTTAAATGACGGCTTTAATAACGTTGGATTTTCCTTTTTTTACTCTCAAAGTAATCAACTCATAATCTTGAGGGAATATGTTTTATTTCTGTAAATATCCAGACTTTTTCTTGTAAATTATGGCTTTAATACGGAGAAATGTCAGGTTTTTTTCTTGCAAATGTATTATTTTGTCATCTCAGACCATATTTTATTTTATGTTGAATTTGTTCATATTTTTGCTCTTATTTCGTGCAAATTTCAAATCGTTTTTTAAAATAAATTATGACTTTAATACCAAAATATATCAGATTGTGTTTGTCGATGGTATGTGTAATATTTTGTCATCTCAGATATAAATACATACATATAGAATATTTTTTTAATGTTTTTAATCGTTGATTTACCATTTAAGTAAACAAGAATATCCCTTTAATCCAGATGAATTATAGATTTTATATCTGAAAATAATTCAATAAAATCACAACTGCACTCTATGTAGTTTTTTCTCATGATATTACAATGTGGCTCCAATTCTACTTCATTTGTTAACTCTCCATTGGCCCTAAAACGCCATCACAGCAGTCAGATACACCAGTGGTATTTAATTATAGTAGGAAGTACGGTGCAATCCTAATAAGGACTGTTGTTGAATCCGGGCCCTAGCCCCCCTCAAACCCCCCAAAATACACGCTTCTGATAACAAAAAAACACATATATGTACACTGCACATGTATAATAACACACATTATGATACAAATACACACATTGCAGCACCCTAGATGCAGTATATATTAACAGTGTGTACATGCACAACCTGCACACCGACCCTCCGGTGAAATCCCACCCCCTTTTTGGAACCGATAATAAACAAAAACAACGCACCGCTGCACCGGGGTGTTGCGCGTCTGTGTGCCGGGCTGCGGTGCTCGGTGCTCGGCCTGGCGAGGGAGCAGGGGTCGGTGTTCAGTGCTCGGTGCTCGGCCTCCTCTCTCTCTCCTCTCGGTTCTCCTCTCTCTCTTTCTCTCTTTCTCCCTCCTCTCCCTCCGCCAGCCGCCATCAGCTCCAGCGGCTCGTGAAGCAAGCAAAGCCGCAGCACTCATTTCCGCCCTGGTGAGAGGGGGGGAATTCAAAATAAAAGCAGGATCGATGTGAAAGATGGGTGCTATTTCCCCCATACAAAACCTTCGATTTAGTTATGTGTATATGTAATACATATGTTTGCAAAACCCAACAAAATGTACTTTAATAATCTGAACAACGAAATAGACCAGACGTGAATCTAAAATTATATAAAATACATCATAGGTTCGTTTTTATACAATGCATACAACCGATATATAAATATAGAAAACATAATTAGCAGATTGCAAAGCTTTTATTTTGTAGGCCTGTACTCAAACCGGAAGAAGAGTGTGTACTTGTTTTGGTACCTTTGACAGACCCGCCATTACAGCAGCAGCCGGTAACAGCAGCAGCGGTTTAGGGTCATCTGTGTGTGGAGAAACCAGGGCAGAAACACACTAAATAAACCACAAAACAACACAACATTTCATATTGTATTCCAATGTTACATCTATTTTGTAAAAAAAACATGTTTATTTAGCAAAATGTGACAAAAATACTAATTTATCTCCACATTCCTGCGTGGAAAGATCGACAAAAGGAAGACTTAGTGACACAGAGGCGTTTATTTTTGACGTCCTGTCGGTTATAAATCGTAGTATTGATGATAATAAAGAAGAATGGGGATTATGGATTCTCATGGCGGACGCACTCGCTTCTGATTGGCCCGCGGGGACGAGCTGCAGGCCAATCAGATGGCGCGCTGCGGGAAGCTGCCGCTCCTAGCAACAAGAGGGATTATTTATTAATTTTATTACAACAGCTGCTGTAATGCTGTAAATCTGGGTTTCAACACTTTTAACCCCCACATGTTATATTAACATAACTCACGAGGGATTGCCTTTAAATATAGGCCTCATTTTATAGATATTTGTATTCATTTATATGTTGTTTACGGGATTTATGAGCCTGTAAGAGAGGGCTATGATGGATCCACTTAGCGTTATTATTCTTAGGAGAGAAGCGAGGATTTGAAATATAAATAGTGCTATGTCAATTCATACTTGACAAATGAACAATAAAGTATGTTAAATTATATTTAAAATGAATGATTAAATGAATGAATAAAGAAAATAATACTTTCAAAAGAATAAATATTTAAATCATATTATTCATTCATTGAAAAAAAACAAAACAGAAATAAGCAGTTAAACAAATAAAAAAATAAGTAAATACATAAAATTATTAATTAAATAATAAAGCAATTTAATAAAGTAATTCATTAAATAATTCTAGCCCAGAATAAATGGAGGAAATTATTGTTTATTTGCTCTCATATTATTTAAGAAGAATATCCAATGCATACCGCTTTGAGCTTTTTACATTTTTCTAATATACATATTTTTTTAATGTAGTTTATTTGTTCTGTTTTAGCTCGAATATTTGATTTAAATAAATACAAATAAATATATAAAATCATTTTAAAGATTGTCCCTTAATCTTTCTTTACATTAAATCCACCATTTGATTTTTAATGACTATTTATTTATTTAAATACAACAGTGTTTCTCAAATGTATAAAGCTATACCTGCTTAGTGTTATCATGTTCACACACACACACACTGGCGTGTAATTCCTAATATCGTATAAGTGTGTTTGTGTGTGTGTGTGTGCGAGACAGTATCATCTCCTGTAATCTCTTAATCCCCATCAGGGTCAATCTCTCCGTCTACACACACCTCACCTCTTCTGCGTTTATTACTCTCTCTCTCTTTGCAAACTATAAAGGATTTAACCGGGGTAACGTTTTAATATTTAGAGTTGAGTTTAGTCAAACCAAAACTTCAGGACTATTACCATAACTTTTTCTCTTTGTCATCAGGAAGTCAGAGGAAAGGATACCTCCATGGCCAAAGTCGCTCCGTCAGTCCGGTCTCTAAACAGGTCGACATCACCCACCATCGCTCTCCAGGACGATCCAGGTGAAGACATGGAGAGGGACAGGTGAGAGGTCCAGCACTCAAAGGCTAACAAACGATCAATCCAAATTATGATTGAGTGAGTCCAACAATCCAGGAGGAACTTCAATGGGTCTTTGAGGAAGTTCTAGAGGTCCTTTAGGAGGTCTCAACGTTGCTTGATGAAGTTTAATGGGGTTGTGTGGCGGTTCTAAAGAGTCTTAAATATGTTCTACTGGTCCTTTAAAATGTTTCTGCAGGTTATAGGGGTCCTCTTAAGGATTGATGGTTCCTTTAGGAAGTTATTGAGGTCCTTGTTGCTTGACTAGGTTTAATGTGGTTTTGAGGCAGTTCTAAAGACTCCAAGCTTCCTTAAAGATGTTATATAGTGCCTTTAAGATGTTCTAATGGTCCTTTAAAAGGTTCCTGGTGTCCATGGGCAGGTTCAACCGATACGCAAGAAGGTCCATTTCTTGAGTTACTTTAAGAGATTTCACTGGTCCTGGTTTTTCTCAAGGATCCAGGAGTCTGTAAAGAGATCTACGGGCTCTATAAAGATGTTCTCAGGATCCTTTAAAAAGATTTTAGTTGAGTTCCCAACTCGAACTGATGATCTTGGTAAACCAGTCCTGTCATCGTTTCAGAACCGATCAACAAGCCGGACCAGGAGTTCTGTTTAACGCCAACAACAGCAACAACAACGAAGAAGAAGAGTATGTTTGTTTATTTTACACATAGAACATCAAAAATAATTACTCAAGTTGTTTTCTGATGGATTCCCTTTTGTCTTCTAGGAAGGAAAAGACAAAGAAGAAGAAGGACAAGAAGGAGAGGAAGGAGAAGAAGGAGAAGAAGGAGTACGTTAAAAGCTTTCTGAGGCCTTACCGGATACGAAACCAACCAAGATAACTATATTATGAGTTTTCCTTAATGTGACGTTGCTCTTTATTCTCAGGAAGGAGAAGCAGGAGAAAAAGGAGAGGAAGGAGAACAAACTAAAGGAGAAAGAGGAGAAGGAGAAAGAGAAGAAGGAGAAAGAGGAAAAGGAGAAAGAGAAGAAGGCCAAAGACGAGGCGTAGGTTTGGTTGTTTATTATCCACTGCATCACAAAATACAAGGCTTTAAGATTTTTCTGAAAAAACGTAGCATTGATCTTAAAATGTGCCACCAGAGTTATTTCATATATGTTTCAGTCCTAAAGAGGTCACAGTAGTTGACCCGGCGAGTAACCTCTACTACCACTGGCTGGGTCTTATCACCATCCCCGTCATGTACAACTGGACCTTGATCATAGCCAGGTAACACACACATACACACACACACACACCACACACACACACACACACACACCACACACATACTGATTTTACCATGTT